TAACTTATATCTAACATGTTATAATTAATTACTCATTAATCGTTAAATGTAAATTAAATAAAAGTCTCAGATTGAGTGTAAGGATTTTTAAACTTACGCTAGTATAAAAATATATTTCTTTCTCTATATATATATATTATTAAAATTTATTAAAAAATAATTTTTTTGAGTATTATGTTAATTTGATAAATTTTGTTGATAATTCTGTAGTTCTTAATAAAAGTTAATTAAAAATATGGTAAAAACAATCTTCTACAATTTTTAGGAAAAAAATTGAAATTTTTAATTTAACTCGAGTCTTGAACTTAAAACTTGGTTAAACTAAAAAAGACATACCACTCAACGAATTCGACCAGTAAAGATTGAGTTCATGTTCCACAAGAACGCGACGGATCTTGTTTAAAGGAGTCATAAATATTTTTGTAAGTTTTGAATCATGTCTTAATTCTGAACTTAATTTAAAACCTAACTCACTTAAACTTTTAATTAAAAAAAAACAAAACAGGTCACGTACAGTTGAGAAAAGCATCTCTCCATCTCTCTTTGCTCTCAATATAATGTTTGATTATAGATCTTCTTGAGTGCTCAAAGTATATTCGTAAATAGAATTTCCCCTTTTAACTATAGACAATAAAAAGCCAAACTTGGCACTTTTTGCAGCAGTTGTTGATCTTGACAGTGGCTTTGGTTCTCAACTATTTATTACCGTTCAAGATTTGAACATGTTTTGTGGGCCAGGGACAGACCTTTAGGGGTTGGAAAAGTTCCAGAATCTTATATTATAAATCTGATTTCACTCTAATTGTGTTTTATAGCAGCAAGAGCAAAAAGTTAGCATGCAAGGATGACATCAAAATGGGATTTACTTTGGTAATTTTGATGTTTAGAGAAACCAATAATTTAAGGGGTGCAGTGGTGCTGAACAGATTCAGGATGAGCCTGAATGCATTATTTTGATAAACACTTTTTTAGGTGATGTTTACTCCCACAAGCATTGATGTTATGATTTTGAATTTAAAAACCTATACGAAAGCACTAATGTGAAAAATCCCACTAGTGATATGCAATTTAGTGGTACAATATTGGCAAATAGAATAGTTCCATACCACGCACCTTCATCGGTTAATATCTCACGATAGCCATGACAAGCCCACACAAACACACAAGACAAAACCGACACGTACACACCCATTTCAGGAATATTGAATTATAATGGTGCATAGGTGGCTCAATCTGTGTTGTAAAGTCTACCAGTGTGGACCTTTCACCAGATTCCTTGAAAATTTCTGCAAACTATATTGCATGCCACAATAAAAAATGTTCGAAAAGGTGATGTAAGTCTCTGAACATTCGAGTTGGTGCCCTTTGAGGGATATATGTCTCGTGTTTTTCTCTGTAGACGCGTTAGGAAATATTCTCTTTTAATTAGAAAGCATTATCAACTGGTGGTGCAGATTGGCCTAGCTAGTGATGCAAGGAATACACTATGAAAATACATGCATTTGTAAAACTTTTGTCAAGATAAAAGTTTTGCTGTTTAAGATATTTGGTGTAGATAAGAATTTTGAGAAAACTACACAAGTTGGCCGAAAGATTTATTCTGTGGTTAGGTTATAAAATGATATGATATAATAATTTATTCTGACTTATTTTATTTTTGATATTTGAACAACAAGATATCACAAATTCACAATTTATTATATCATTTATCATATTCTATTAATTTATATCTTTATCTTCAGGGAGTGACGAGTTAGAAAATATTAGGATAAAATAGTTTTTCTTCTGTTACATTTTTACTAATACTTTATATAACTTCTAATATTTCATAAAAAATAATTATTTAAAAATATATAATTTTAAATATTATATATTTAAAAAATATTTCATGAACATTTTTAATAAAAGTATGGTTTCAAAATATTTTACTCATTTTATAAAAATAATTTAAATTTTTATAATTTATTTTTGTTTTAATTATATTTTATTTCCAAAAGATAAATTTTAATTGCAAATTTTTTTAAAAAATTATTATAATTTAATATCAAAATTTTAATATTATATGTACATAAAAATATTTAAAATTTTCAATATATATATATATATATATATATATATATCATTGAAAATTCAAAAAGTTAAATAAAGAATATTTTTTAAAAATAAATTAATTTACTCAAAGAATAATTTTATTATTTAAATATATTTTATATCTTATTTTTTTATTTATTTCAAACATTAAACAAGATGATATTATCTTATTTGTTTTACTGTCCTTATCATGCATATTCTTATTTAATTCACATGTTTTATTATTTTTTATGCTATCATGTTTATCAAAAGAACTAAAAAGTACGAGACTTTATAAAAATTATATTAAAAGCTCATACTTTGAAAGTGACTATGCACTAGTACCTTTACTAGTTTTGAGAAAACACTGCAGTGTTAGTGTTTCATACCACCGATACCTCCTGTTTATACCTGAAAGACAAGATGAAAAACTCGTATATCAATTGATAGTTGTTATAGTTGGAAAGCAAAAGACCTTATAAACTATAGTTAAAATTCTAAACTGTTAGACTCAAGTCCCTTATTTTACCATTGAATCCTGGCAAATGCCCCGCTACAATTACATGTAGAATGATATAATCTGTGAGCTTACTACGAGCAATATCGTGTAAACAAACTAAAATTCAGAGAGAGAAAAAAAAACTTTGATGACACGAGCATAGTTGTTGTTTCCTGAAGAGCAATTATATATAACATTCTCCCCTTATCGTGGGGATCATACTTCATGATAGCATTGATAAAAGAATTAAGCGTATATGCTTCTTGCCTTGGCATGTGACAACTTAAAGCTATATGGGTAAGGATTTGAACCAGTAATAGTGCGCATGCATAACCAAGTAATTAAGTTACTAGGAACATCAGCAGTCCAAGACATTTTCATCAGTGGTCCCAAGCAATCATCAAAACAAAGTACAAAAAGAAGTGTCTATCTGAAATCCACCCAACAAAAAGAGAAAAGAAAAGGTATTAAACTGCAAATGGTCACATAGGAAGTGAGAAAAGTTCTTAGGAATTGGTCATTTTCAATCAATGGTCTGTTTTACCTTTCCATTTAGATAGTGTCTTAGTGCGGTTTGGCCTAGTCACATTCTTTCAACATTTGTAATTAGAAAAGGAAATGCTTCTAATCCTTCGGTTCAATTCATATATACTATAGAACCATTATCTCCTCTCTCTTTTGTTATTAGAAGAATGACTTTTGTTATCAGTTCTACATACATACTAAAGATATTGTCGATATAACGTGTAAAATAGGAAATGAAAAAGGTAGAAAGACTTCTTTTCTACGAACATTCCCAAAGAATTGTCGTCGCCTTTGTTCTTTAATTAGATCATGCTTATGCTACGTACGCACGCTTCTATGCAAAACCATCTCATTCAATGTTGAGCACGCACCAAGATTATCATTGTTTTGGTCATGGAAAAGTCAAATGTTTTCTAGAATATCCAAGAGAATAAACTTGAGATAACCTTGCTTGATGCCTAGAAATTGTTAACTATAATCCTATGATTGAGTGCTTTTATCAGTTTATCATTGTAGTATATATATCATATGATGAGGTTGATACAATAACAACATTACACATGCTTTTTGATCTTAAATACATTTAAACTAAGGGTTTGTATTCAGTACCAAGCTTTTCATATAAATATTGCACGAGCATTTTTAAATTTAAATGAAATTAATAAATAAAATAAAATATTATATAATTTTATTAATAATAAACATTTTATTTTATTATATAAGAATAAATTAAAGAGATATTTAAAACAAATTAAAATTAATTAATTAAATCAAGACATATCATTTTTATTGATATATTTTTTTATCAAAATTTAGTAATTAAATTCGAAAATTTTAAGTCAAAATATATGGACTAAGATTATAATAATTTTAAATTTTAATTTATCTAAAAAATAACTAAAAGCTAACTTTTCAAATTTAACTAATCTTCTGACTTTTAATTAATTTATCAAATAAAATTTTTAAATAGACTAAAGAAGTCTTTGTGGGTTTGTGCTATTCCAAAACGCCATATCATGGTATGATCATATAACATTAAAAGGAAAGTACATTTCCTTGAAAAAATAAAAGAATAAAAGTAGATATCATTGAGACATAGTGGTACCAAATCCTTTCCCAGTTTAGGCAAATGGATTGCATTATTAGGAAAAAGACGAGAGGGACAGAAGGAACAAAAGGGTTTACCATTTGGTTGCTTTGCAGGAAAATTTTTGGAGGTCTCAGCAACTGTGTAATGACGTATCTGCCCTCCTTATTAACCACAATAAGAATAAACCTCAAATGAAGAAATATATTTTATTTATTATGAATATAAATAAAAGAGGAAAACTAGCTATCACTTTTTAACATAATTTTAATTATCAATTACAATTTATTAAAAATTATAAAAATATTAAATTAAATTTAAACTAAAAAAAGTAAGATTCGTATAATTTTTAATAAATTTTAATTACTAGTTAAAATGGATTAAAGGGTGTATTATTAATAATTTTTAATATTTTTTATAATATAAAATAAATTAAATTAATTAATCAGATTTAGTATGTTGTCTCCTAAATTATGTTAAATAAACAAAAATAGTTTGATTGTTGTGTTTGTATATTTAATATAAATTTAGAATAAAATTAAAAATTTATAGTGTATTTTATTATGAATTTATTTTTAAAAAATTAAAATATAAATCACATAACTTAAATTTACTTGTAAATACAAATAATTTTATAAATTCAGTTAATTTAAATTTAAATTTCTAAACGCTAATCTAAACACATACTTAATTGAAGTATATCAAAATTTTAATTTTTTATTTAAAAATATATTTTTTAGAAAAAAAAAATTGGTTTTCAATTGCTCCAATGAAAGACGAAAAAGTGTAGCTTAACTGTCTTATAATGTACCACAACAGAGTCTCTGTCTGATACTAATTGGTATATTCTTTTCCCTTGAGTTCAATTAATAAGCTTCCAAATCTATATCGATTAAAACAAAAAGGCCGCAAGTACCATACAGCTCCAACATCTTCTGAATAAAGCCTTAGCATTTCACAAGAAAAAGTGTATTGTGTGTGTGTCTCTGAAATGGTTCCAAAATTCCGTAGTGGAGTGGAAGATGGTGGGACTGGGCGCGGAACTAGGCCTATCTGAATATCACCCACGCACCTTTTGAAACTGAAACCAACTTCTGGAATTGGAAAAGTTACCTTCTTTCAACTTGTTATGTTCTGGGTCAAGTTCCTTCCTTTTGGAGTTTAGAGTCATGGGGTTTCTTTCTCTTTGTTCTTATATTACTGTGATTTCTCATATGGGTCCAACCTTCTAGGTGGTGCAAATGGTAAGTACAGTTCCTGGTCTCTACAAACTCACCTTTTTATTTTTTTATTGGAGTTACTAATCTATTTCTAATGATAGATTTTTGGTATTTGATTGTGTATACTTCAATTTTGATTTTGTTCATGGAACATGATTAAGTTAGGTAGTTAGAAGTCCTTTCATATGAATTCCAATGTTTTTGTTATTATTTTGTATTATTATTTGACTACAAGAAATTATAATTTGTTTGGTGGACCGTAGATAGTATATATCATTCTCTTCTGTGGATATGTTTGACCCTCTTTATTTCCCCTCTCTCTTCCAAAGACCCACTTGAGGATAGGATATGAACCTTTTTCATTTTTTTCTTTTCAAATTTGATATGCAGAAAATCTATGGGTAGCGTGCAATGGCCGCTTTGATATTTGACTTTTGTGTTGGATGCTAGAATAGATTTTGTGCTTAAGCAATAATACCAACTTGCACGCATCTTTATTTGAATGGAAGGAATCTTCAGAAAGTGTTAGTTATCAATTTTTTAAAATAATTTTCTAGTTTTATTTTATCAAACCACAATGATCCCTTTGGATTTCATTTCTTTTATGTGCAATTAAGGATTTCTTTTATTCTTCAGAAGCAGGTCATTAATTTTTTTAATCAAAGTCCCAGGTTCTTTTTTCTTGTCTCATGAATTAGGATTGTATATTTCAAAATAGTGTTAACTATTATAATTTCTATCTTATTATTATTTTTGTTTTCATTCTGCTTCTATGTTGATAATGATTGAAGGAAGTATTCACCAGTATACTTGTTGCAGGTTAAGAAATGATCTGGTAATGGAAGCTCGTTTGACTTTTGGCAATGGCAAGTGAGTTTCAAATTTGACACAGTTCTTTCAGACAGGTCATAGGATAACTGCCTCTTGTTTTAATCAAGGAGCAGAAAGTATATTTTGGTTTTTTCTGTGGAAAAGCATTCATGATTCTCTGTTGTGTTTAGCTTCATCGTGGGGCAAATCTCCTTTGGCAATATAGCTTCCAAGTTCCAATCTTGGAAGAGGAAAGTTTATTAACTATCTGGAATTTATTTATGTTTGAAGATTCAGCTGTATTGGGCAAATCTCCTTTGGCAAAAGTTACTTAATTTCCTTTGATTGGATTCCTGGTGGTAAATATATATGTGAAAATAATTGTTTGTCATCTTCCATAAAATTATTACCATTCTGAGGTTTATTCCACCAGGAACCCAACTGTTACTAGGGCAAGTCTACTTTGGCATCTTTTGATTAACTTGGTCAGCTTCCTCCAATTTCCATGATTTTTCTTCCAGAAAATCACAAAAAAAAAAGAAAAAGAATCTCTGGTAGTTGTAGCTTCTTGATACTATGGAAACCTCTCTCAAGAGTCTCTTTCTGTAGAAATTCCAGAGTGTTGTGGAAATTCTAGTCCAAATTGGGCAAATCTCCTTTGGCATTTTGGAGTCCTTGATTGACTCCTGTTATTCTATCAGGCAAATCTCCTTTGGCATCAATTTCCAGTTTCATTGGTCAAGATAATATTTTTAAGAAACTGGATCACTATCTGTGACAAGCATCATTATCCGTCAGACACGTTTTGCTTGTACCCAATTCTCCTTTGAAGTCAATATCAACTTACCTATTGTGGATCACAATACGCACTGGATTTTAATGCTTCTATTTGCTTGAGAAGGTAAGCATCCTCTTGAATCCCTATTTATCGTTAATATTGCTTCATGGATATGTTAAAATTTTGTTGTCTAAACAGATCATAGTTGCTCTAGGTTTTCCTCTATAAGGGAATGAGATTACTATTATTATTTTCATTCATATTTCATTCAAAGTAAAATGAAATTGAGAGTTTAAAATTCACATCTTAACTGCTAGGCCTGGGTGGGTGTTTTCTTCTCAAGATATTACTGATTAATTCTGATTACATCTATTTCTCAGTCTGTTGATAATTCCCATCGATTGAGTAACAATTCTATTGTTTCCTATGTTATGTTTTGAAGCTGTTTTCTTGCAATTATTTAATTTATGTTACCATGAACATATCATGACAGGCATCTAGCTGATGGATGCTAACGTTACTGCTCATGTTACTGATTCGGATTGGGAGACTTCCAGTGACAGCAGCAGCAGCGAGGATCAAGAGGATATTGATTTTCTATATGGTGGACAAGCTCAGAACATATTATCAAGTTTAGAGGAAAGCATTGGGAGGATTGATGATTTCCTCTCATTTGAGAGGGCATTTGTACACGGGGATGTGGTCTGCTCCTTGTCTGACCCATCTGGACAGATGGGGAGGATCACAAGTGTTGACATGTTAGTAGACTTGGAAAATGTTCGAGGAAACAAATTAAAAAATGTAAACTCAAAGAAACTTCTTAAGATTCGCTCCATTTCAGAAGGTGACAATGTAATTAAGGGGCCATGGATTGGTCGGGTTCAGAGGGTGGTCGACAGAGTGACTGTATTGTTTGATGATGGAGCTAAATGTGAAATCATTACCTTGGAAAAAGATAAGATTTTACCTCTGGCTCATAATTTTCTTGAAGATTCACAGTATTCGTTCTATCCAGGACAGAGAGTAAAGGTTAAGACCTCCACTGCTTCTAAACCAGCTCGATGGCTATGTGGCACCCGGAAAGACCATCACAATGAAGGAACTGTTTGTGCTGTGGAAGCAGGTTTGGTGTTTGTTGATTGGCTTGCCTCTGTTCCTTTGAGTTCCAATTTGAATGTGAATGTTCCTCCATGCTGGCAAGATTCCAAAACCTTGACATTGTTGTCCTGTTTTTCACATAGAAATTGGCAACTTGGTGACTGGTGTATGCTCCCAGTTGCTGACCAAAAGGAACAGATGATTCAAGATGCATCTGCCAGTGATCTTTCTAATGAGAATAGTATGTCCAGAAGTTATAAGAGAAGAAACCTTGACTCTAACATTGGGGAATTATTTATAATTGAGAAGATAAAGTGCAAAGTTGATATTGTTTGGCAAAATGGTGAACATACATTGGGACTAGATCCTCACAACTTAATCCTAGTGAATGTCATAAACACACATGAATTTTGGCCCCATCAGTTTGTGCTGGAGAAAGGTGCTTCTGATGATCCTCTTAAGCCTAGCAATCAAAGATGGGGTGTTGTTCTTTCCATGGATGCAAAAGAACATACTGTAAAGGTACAATGGAGAACTGCTCTCATATCTGAGCCAGATAACTTGGCTGGAGAAACAATGGTGGAAACTGTGAGTGCCTATGAACTAGTTGAGCACCCAGATTATTGCAGTTGTTTTGGTGATATTGTGTTTAAGGCGGCTCAAAAACAGCTTGGTTACCAAGCTGATAAAGATGATACAAAGTCAGATGCTCCTTCGTTAAACCAAGATCAAATCAGTTATCAAAAGAAGTCCCCGGATAACATTTACCTCTCCTGTATTGGCAATGTTACCGGTTTCAAAGATGGTGATGTGGAAGTGAAATGGGCTACTGGTAGAACAATAAAGGTATGACATCAATTTTTTTTTATATACTCAATAATATAATAGTTAATGATGCTAATGGCTATATAGAGTGATGTAGAACTTGTGAAGTCAATTCTTCCCATATCTGCATTATCTAGATGAACAGTTTAGTAAGCAGATAATGATAGATTTTTTTAGTTTAGTGATCTACTCCTCTCCTCCAATCGTCCTTGTACCTGGAGCTTTGTGTGCCTGAGTGCCTGTGAGGTGTCAGTTCCTTTCTTTGCTGAAACCAGGGTTTGTTTGTAGCAGCTGTTTTGTGTAGTTATGGTTGGTTCAGGATGATCCTTTTCACTCTTTTGGGATACAAAAAGAAAATGATTTCCTTTCATTGTGAAAATCTAGATGTAATGATTATAGGTAAATTACAAGTTACACCACTGAACTTGGACTAAATTATATTTATTCGATGATCCTACTGAACTTAGACTGCAACAATATTAGTCATTTCAGAACAATTATTTCAAATGTTCTATTGTAACTATACACTACTTTATAGCCCTTCATCTACAGGAAATCATTGCAAATTATTTGTGCCACAACAGGTAGCACCTTATGAAATTTTTCGAATCGACAAAAATGAAGGTTCAGCTGCCACCCCTGTTCCTTATGAGAATGTTGAGGAGTTGACTCAAGCAATGATTGAACATGGAACTCTACCTTCGGACCAGAAGGGAAAGGTGAGGATAAGAACTTCTCTGTATGTCCTGAATCTATTTGCATCCATTATAATCTATTTTTTTATGTGAATTATTTAATTGGGACATTGAGATGTAGAGGTCTCATCTTAGAATTTATAGTGAAAAGTCGGGTAGTTATAGCAAGAGAAAATAAAATGGAACTTTTAAACTCTTCTTCATAAGTATGGATCAATTATCATTGTAAAATTAATTTTTCAATGTGATTAATTGTTGAATTTACTGCAGCAATTATCTAATCATAAGCTGAATATCACTTCAATGATCAGGACTTGTTAGACTGTAATGATGATAGAGATAATTGTGAAAAACAACCCGGAGAGAGTAGTTCCTTTTCCCTTCATCAAGCTGCCTTTGAACTTTTCTCCAGCATTAAAGCCAGCATATTCCAAACATTTGGTGTAACATCACTTCCCAGAGCAGTCTCCCCAGTCGCTACATTTGAAGAGAGAAATGAGTCTAATTTTCTTGCTAAGAAAGATTTGGACACTTGTGAACCCGACACTGGACCGCATCCAGGGAGCAGGCTGCAGTCTTCTGAAGACAGAACTACAAATTGTGAAGTTCATAATATTCATGAGACAAATGATTTTGCAGCTTCTTTACACAGCAACATTTCATATCAGTTGAAGCAGTTTGATGTAATTGATAATTGCTCAGACCACCACTTTTTTAATGAGGGGAAAGGATTGTCATTATCTCAGGTTAGAAATTGACAACTCATTACTGCAGTGACGTATAATCATATTGGAAGAACTCGGGCTAATTTTTTTCCTCTCCTTTTGTTTCATTAATAGGTTAAAAATGGTTGGGTGAAAAAGGTACAGCAAGAATGGAGCATCCTGGAGAAAAATCTTCCTGGTGCACACTTCATCTCATTTGTTTCATGCCATGTTATTGTATATGTTTTGCAGTCTATGTTTTTATATTGAATTCAGGCTATGAAATTATATTTGGATCACAACTGTCACAGGTCCCTGTCACAGTGTGGACGAGGACAGATAGTATTTCAATTCCTTTAGCCATTTTAATCTGGAAGGAAAACACAGAAGATTATATTAGAAACAAGTTATTGAGTAGATTACCACAAGATGGGAATTAAATTGGTGGTTGCTGTAAAGATAAACAAAAAATTATCTGAATTTGATCTTTCAGACGTTAGAATTCAAAGTTCAACCAAAAGTAGTACACAACTATGTAGGCTTTGTTGGCCATTAAAATTGAATCAGCAAATTATCTGAAAATAAGTAATTGCTAGAAAGAGAAATCTGAGTATGCTGTGAATATCCATCAGTTTACTGCAAATTCACGTACAATCTTTATTTGGTTAAACAGAAACTATTTATGTCCGTGCTTTTGAAGAAAGAATGGATCTCATGCGAGCAGCCATTGTTGGTGCATCTGGGACACCTTATCACGATGGGTTGTTTTTCTTTGATATACGTTTTCCTCCGGAGTATCCCAGTGAACCCCCAGTAAGCTTCTGAATGTAGTTTTGCTGTGCTTTATGAATTCTTTTCATTTATGATTCATGCATGGAGCCTCCTCCACTTAGAATTTAGCATCTTACAGAGAAAATTGCACATTTGTTTCTAAACAAGCTCTCATCCAGTCATTATGGCCTTTGTAATCTCATGCAGTTGGTGCACTACATTTCTGGTGGGCTAAGATTAAATCCTAACTTGTACGAGTCAGGGAATGTCTGTCTGAGTCTCCTAAATACATGGACTGGTACAGCAAATGAAGTATGGAATCCTGGAGCTTCCACAATTCTTCAGGTTCTTCTGTCTCTGCAGGCCCTTGTCCTTAATGAAAAGCCTTATTTCAATGAGGCTGGATATGATCAACAAATTGGAAGAGCTGAAGGAGAGAGGAACTCAGTGAGTTACAATGAGAATGCTTTCCTTGTCACCTGCAAATCAATGTTGTATCTATTAAGGAAGCCGCCCAAGGTAAAATGACTGCTTCTATACTTTGGTTTGACTCTGTATTATTACAGTGGGCTCAGTGATGACCTAGGAAGCATAGACAATAAATCATTGCATCCTGTGCCCTATTAGTTATGTTGGACACTGATTTATGCACATCATGCCAGAAATACGCATCTCAAGACAAAATAAAACAAGAATTGAACATTACTAGAATATGACCTGGATATCTTAAATATTTGAATAGGATGTTATTTCTGTCAGAAATGGGAGGGTATTGTTGATGATAAAATGGTCAAACATTTGCTACAGTACAAAGGGCACGGATTGAACAAGTTGTTGAGTTTCTCTATGTCTTTTGAGTTGTACATCTTTATTCAATACAAAGCAAGCCGCAGTTGTTATTTAACCAAACAGCTATGCATGGCCCTGATTTCCAATTTTTTATACTCCTAGCATCCTAAAGTTTCTTCAGTTTTCAATTTTCATTATTAAATTTATTTTAGTTGATTACACTGAGGCTTTCATGTGATGTCTGCATGTCATCCGGCTCCCAATTGTTATAAAGAAAATGGTGGCATCTGAATCTTGGATGAAGTTATATGGATAGTAGTATAGAACTGAAACTAATAATGACACTGATTGCAGCATTTTGAGGCATTGGTGGAAGAACACTTTAGACAGCGCTCCAAACATATACTTCTTGCTTGTAAGGCATATCTTGAAAGAGCTCCTATTGGATGTGCTTTTGAAGGTGGAAAAACTGAGCATGAAAACCAGAAGGGAACTTCTACTGGATTTAAAATTATGCTTGCTAAGCTCTTCCCCAAGCTGGTAGAGGCATTTTCTGATAAGGGAATTGATTGCAGCCAGTTTGCTGAAATGCAAAAGTAACTGTTCTTCATTGGGAGTAAATCGTCAAGGATATCCCAACCTTGTGTGTAATATATTAATTTGTTTTCACATATCTGTATGATATGAAAGACATGCTAGCAATACATTTTTTAACACATTCTCTACTATTGGCTGAAATTACTGAGAATTACAAAATTATAGAAGTTTCACACACTCGCTTCTAATTTAATAAACCTCACTGATAATTTTGTAGTTTTTAATAAATTTCAGCTAATAGTAAAGAGTGTATTAAGAAAAGTTCATTGCTAGCACTTTGTTATGGAATGTTAGCTTGATAAAAATATATTGTAAACCCCCACCTCCCAACATAAAGAAGTGTTGAAGGGGTACTGATAACAGATACCTTGTCGTATTTGTGTATATGTATCATAAATAATGGCTTGCAGACGTGAGGATGTGAAATAAGAAACAATGATAGGTGTAATTTGCTTGACATGTCTTGCCATCTGTTTGATAATCATTTGCAAATGTGCTATGACTTGCTAAAGAAAAGGGGATGGGGAGTTTGGAGAAGATATCACTCATCACTAGATGATGGCTATTTCGGTGGCTTTCAGAGGAATGAAAAATGTCCCTCAAGTTCACAATTAATATTATGACCAAGAAATCAATAGCAGTATACATCCACAGCTGAACTGTTAACAAAATGACTGAAGAATAAACTTGGTTCAGACGATGTATAAATATTTGAGAAGTATTAGGATCACGCTTTTGTATATACCCTTATTGATTAAAATTTATTAAAATTACAAAAATGTATAAATACTTTTCTTTTCTCAAATTTTCGTACTTTTAATAAATTTTAATCAATGTGATAAAAATGAATGGTTTTATGACAAGCGGTTTAAGTATATTTAAGCTAAATCTTAAGTTTAAGTCATTTTGTATAAAAAAAATAAAATTCAATGATAAACCCATTAGGACCGGTTCGAGTCTGCTCACGACACTAAACACACTCTCCCATGCTTTTCCTTCTAACGCAAGATTCCACGTCCCATTCTCAACCCCATTTTCTCAAAATTAAATAAATAAAATTATATTTAACAAAAATAAAAATAAAAAAAACAGAGCTTCAAAGATGTGAAAAGCTAGAACTTGCGTGTCCCTACGTGCTGAAGCATTCACAGTTTCCCTTTCTGCGATCCACATTCCTTACGCGTAAATTCCAAAACCATCGAAATCGCCATCCAAATGTGAGGCAATTGCATCAATGGAGTATTATTTTTCTCCTCTTAAGTTGCAGAGATCTCGTCGGTTCCTAGTGAATCCCCACAACACTTCATCTTCAAAGCCCTTATTCATCTTCTTTTTCTTCTTTCTCTGCAACTTGTCTTATGTATTCACTAACCCTTCGGATTCGGCTTTCGAATCTACCTACGTTCGCCTCTGCAACCACGTCGTCCCCGCCTCCGCGGTGCGATCCGATGCCGGAACCGTTCCCGGTGTCGCCGGCGAGCTCCGGTTCCAATCCGGCTACTTCTCCGGCGGCGATCGATTCTTCAACCGATCCGCTGCATCAAAGCACGTGTCGTTTCGCGCAACCTCTGTTAGCGGAAGCGCGAGCGATGGCGTGTACGAATTGGGAGGGCAAATGCTTCTTCAGCAACGAGGAGGAGGGAACACAGTTCAGGGAAGGTTGCTCCGGCGAGTTTTTCCGGGTCGGAGAGTGTCGCATTGGAGGGTTTCGCAGTGGATGCGCGTTTCTCTGAGAGGGTTTTGGTCACAATCTTCTGGTAACCTTTGTATGTTTGGAACAGGATCTTATGGAAATTTAAAAAATGCTAATGTTGTTCTTAACCTTCATTATCCAAAAAATTTGATCCTTTTGGATTGTTTGATTAGTGGGACATTAGAAAGTTTTGATGACAAAAATAGCTTGCAATACTTTGAACCCATTTCAATATTGGCTTTGTCTCAGGGTTCGAATTACAAGTATACACTAGTTGGGAATGAGAAAGAGAATGGTTGTGGAAGTGGATCAGATGTAGAGAGTTTGTCCCTTAGAAACTTAGGTCAAGGTGCCTGCACTGCGTTTCTTGGACGCACCGATAGGTTTGAACTGGATTATGGGAGCCACTGTCATAATGTCAGTTGCAATCCTCTTGGTGGTGATGTTGAACGGTTGCCTGATGTTATGCTTTTTTATGGCACTCGATGCGCCGAGAGGCAGAAGGTTCAGATGCTGTTGGGTTTTCCTGACTCTTCCCACCGGGACGCTTTGTTTCCGTTTTATACAAATGCGACTTTGGTATCTGAGGGGATGTGGGATGAGAAGGAGAATCGGCTTTGTGCGGTTGCTTGCCGGATCTTGAACTTCACTGAGTCTGGGAGTAATCCTCTGGTTGGGGATTGCTCGATTAAGCTCACTTTAAGGTTTCCTGCAGTTTTGTCTTTGAGGAACAGGAGTACTGTTTTGGGCCAGATTTGGAGTAATAAAGTGGTTGGTGAATCTGGTTATTTCGGTAAAGTTGGATTTCAAGGTTCATTGAAGGTATTAAGAGGCCTCCATGGTTTCCAATATAAGTATGCTGAAATTGAGAGAGTAAGAAAATCTTGTGCAGAAAAGATGACTGCAAGAGGCAAGGGAAAGATGTATCCAGATGGACATTCTTCTGATATGACATTTAGCATGTTAGTGACAAACAGTAGAGGACAAATAGCTCAAGGTTACTCATCACCACTGTTTGTTGGGGATCAAATTTATGATGGACGGCAATATGGGGTTCCAATTGTGTCAACAACAGGAAAATTGAAAGCACACGGTATTCAATCAGATAAATACAGCAATTTGTTGAATGTCAGCTATATGATGAGCTTTACTTCCCCTCCTGATTTCAAGTTTGGTAGTCAGGTCTCTTCAACTGAAGTTAAAATTAGTGCTGAAGGAATTTACAATAGGAATACTGGAGTTCTATGTATGATAGGATGTCAGCATTTGAAATCAAGGAACAAAATACTGATAAAGAATGAGTCTCTGGACTGTGAAATCTTGGTTAATGTCCAATTTCCTCCGTTGAATTCAAAAGGAGGTGAATCTCTTAAAGGAACTGTAGAAAGCACACGACCAAAGTCAGACCCTTATTATTTTGGTCCCCTTCAACTGTCTTCATATTCCATTTACACAAGCCAAGCAGATGCTTCCATTTGGAGAATGGATTTTGAGATAATTATGGTATTGATATCAAACACACTTGCTTGTGTGTTTGTAGGATTGCAACTCCTCCATGTGAAAAAGCACCCAGATGTGCTTCCTTACATTTCCATTGTGATGCTTCTTGTTATCACTATAGGTCACATGATTCCCCTGATGTTGAACTTTGAAGCTTTTTTCTTGGTGAACCACAGCGTGCAGAATGTTTTTCTTGGGAGTGGAGGCTGGCTTGAAGTGAATGAGGTAATTGTGAGAATGGTGACAATGATAGCCTTTCTTCTAGAATTGCGTCTTGTACAATTGACATGGTCTTCAAGAAAGGGTGAGGGAGGCCACCCCGGTCTGTGGATTTCTGAAAAAAAGGTTTTTTATATGACTCTACCATTGTACATTGGTGGTGGATTGACTGCTTGGTTGGTGCATATATGGAAGAATTCACACCAAAAAAAATTTAGACCATTCCGACTTTCACGCCACAGGTTTAGGTTTCCTCGTGGGCATTTTTACCGATCTCCTTCCCTCTGGGAGGACTTTAAATCTTATGCTGGTTTGCTCCTGGATGGTTTTCTGCTCCCACAGATTCTGCTTAACATAATATTTAACTCAGAAGGGAAAGCTCTGTCTTCTTCCTTTTATGTTGGGACAACCATTGTTCGCATACTGCCCCATGCATATGATCTTTATAGAGCTCACAGTTCTGCGTGGTACCTTGATTTATCATATATATATGCAAACCATAGAATGGATTTTTATTCCACAGCCTGGGACATCATTATCCCTAGTGTTGGCATTTTATTTGCTCTCCTTGTATACATTCAGCAGAGATTTGGCAGCCGGTGCATTCTTCCAAAGAGGTTCAGAGAAATTTCAGGCTATGAGAAAGTACCTGTTATTGGCAACGACGATTTATGATAGCTTAATATTGATTGCATTTTGTAAATGATTTTTAACCACCGATATTTTTTATTGAGTTTTGGAAGCCATAAATTGCGATGGCAGATATACAGTTCAGGATATAGCAATAGAGGATGATTTTGCCCATATCAAGCAACCCCAGAGAAAAACATGCTGAGTAGATGAGGACTTAGCATTTCTATTTAGAGTTCATAAAATTTTGACCAAAAGATTTTTTTTCTCTCTTTCTCCAAACATGACATTACATTTTATTAGACAATACAAATTCCTTGATAGCTTTGTTAATGCCAATGCAAGGTTCTAAGACCATTGATGAAAAGGAGAAAAAAAAGCAGGATGCTGAAGACACTCCCCATATCACTAGTTAAATTATGAAGCTTCCCATATTAAGCTTTAATTCATCTAAAGTAAAATGAAAATCTCGACTGTTAATTTTTAATTAACGGTCATAATTGTTCTTTGTATTATTAATTTAAGAGTTAAAATGACCAAGCTAAATGCATTTTTGAAGATTTGGTTCATTTAAAGTGAAGTTAAATAAAAGCATGATTAAATTTGCGTTTTCTTTTTTAATTTAGAGTTTGAAATGAAAAATTATTTTGTTTATAATATTATGCTCTCTCTGATTCTTTTTACATGAAATAAATAATTAATTATCAGGATTATAAAAAAAAGTTATATATTATAAATTTATAATATATTTTAAAAATTTATAGTAATAAATGATCAAATTAATAATTCATACATTAGACAAATCTATACATTCATTTATATATGTAATAAATATATATCTTATTAATATAAACAGAATTAGCAATTATTACAAATAAGTATTTATTTCTCATTTTACACTAAAAAGAGTGATACTTATATCTCATAAATAAAAACAGAGATTAAAACTTTCAAATATTTAGGTTATCCCATTACGTAGTCCATTGTTAAATTCAAATTAAAAATCAGGAATCAGGCAAATTTTATATAGTAATACTCATGTGTGCGTGCGGGATTCTTGACAGCTGTTGAACAAAAGATGCGAGATGCTGACGAACAATGTTAAGCCTAAAAAATCGTCGATTCAGTGGCAATGAGGTATTTGGTTAGAATAGGTTGCACTAGATATGAACAAGATGTACAGCAAGCCGATTGTCATCAATGACTGACATAGGTAAAACATCTGATACTCCAATACTAAAGTACAGAGATTCACAACTTGAGTGGCATGAAAATAACAAAGCAGAAATGGGAAGCGTGATAATGTCCTGATGTAGAAGACGATCACAATCTGACTCCTTCCTTGATAGATTGTCTCAATGGGAGCCACACTATGGTGGAAAGAGAGGTAAACCTTTGTGTTTTCGACATTGCATAACCTGAAAATAAATGCCAAATTTGAATTAAAGTGAAAAAAAAATCTATCAAGAATAAATATTTGAATGAATAATAACTACATCCTCTTCCAAATTATTCTTCAGAATCTTTCTACTACTTTATAAAACAAGTATTAAATGGAAAATTAGTTGTGTTAATCTTTTAAAAAATCCAACACTTTCTTCAAGTAGTGATTATTAAGAAGATCTTGTAAGATTTAAAATAATTTGCATATGATATATTTAGAGACCTTACAACCATAAAAATATTTATAGTACTAACTGAGGCACATAGATTCACCATACCTCGGGATTGACCATATAAAAATTAACAGCATAGTTCACTTTAGTTATCAACATATTCCAGCTCACCTTATTTGCTGTAGAAGTACATGAATCAGGTCTAATTATTATAAATAAGAAAATAATTTTTAGTTCAACAGTTGCCAAAGTCGGTTAACAGATATAGTACCCAGACTTTATGTTGATTTATCATGCCATGCTTCTAACAGGAATAACAGAATAATTTAAAGGACTACTGTATTTTATGCTTTGAAGCATAGTATAAGAGGCAAAATATCATCACAGTTTGAACTTTGAAGAAATTACACAAGAGTGTCACATGCTCAAAGAATAAGAGAGATATTAATATATCCAAGATTACACATTAATTAACATTAACATAAGTCAGCACAGACGTGCCTTCAGGTATCGTGAAAAGCGTACATTTAAAATTTTATAAAAAATACTATATCGCTATTAGCAAGGGGAGAATTTGGATGGCCTCCAAACAGACAATTTCTCATATCCTCAATAAAACTTTGACTGTGTTAAAACGATAAACACATGATTCATCAACATCTGAAGATAAGTTATGTAGATTGCTGCTTAACTAAGGCTGCATGGAAAAGGAGTCAAGAAACCAATATTTTCCTTTCGGTACGTACGTACCTGGATTTATTTGTAGGCGTCCATTCATCATGGTAATACAGAGAGCTTTGATTTGCCACTAGCGTCCCTCAACCTTGTATTTTAAACTAGTATCTTGTACTAGTCCACCATCATACAAATACTACAACGGAAAATACAGAAACGCATCTCTCAGCAGCTAGGCATAGCCCTTTTGTTTTGGGCGAGACCTGCACACACATATTACGATTTGAATGTAAATGTAATTTTAATAACCCACGGTATAAGTTTACAATTTAAATAGTAATTTTAAATTGGACCAAGATTCCAGAATTCACAGACCAACTCGATAGCAAAATGTTTCAAGTAGCAACTTCCCAATCTATACACCATGGTAAATTGCAGTTTACCCAATAGCAAGGACAATTATCATGATGTCTACATGTTCAATAAATGACGGATTATACAATGTTAGAAAAAGCCCGATGAAGTTACCTTCAATCACATCTTAAACAGACTTCTTGCCACTAACTATTCGAGATATCTGGAGACCCCTGCTGAAAGCTTCATTAAAGAGAAGCCTAGTTTGCATTGACTGAAATCCAGGTAACCATGAGAGCATTGCCACCGGAGCCATGACAATCACCCCAAAGAGCAAATCATATAGCCGAGCCAAAGAAACTACAGTCTCCCACACTTTAGTTGACTGCAGAAATGGCCTAAGCACCTGGGCTATTAAAATCATCCCCCAGCCTGTGGGAATGAATGCCAACAGGCTTGTTAGAAGATCAATAAATTTGAAACCAGTGAACTCCAGTAAGAGGACAACCACAAGAACTGTGACTATAATCACAAGAAGCTGAACTAATCGATAATATATGTGCTCCTTTGTAGCATATTTATCCTGAGCGTATGCTATAATAATATAAATCCCAACAATCACAACCATGAATATCCAGGACAGCAAGTAAACAACTATACTAGTATCTCCACCTGCAATGCCCAGCTGATAAACAATGCCATATTGAAAGAAGAAGAATCGAAGGTCTAAAATGATTTCCAACAGCTTTCCCCATATGCCAGTTGTTTTTAAATGGTCTTGCTCCTCATACCACCATGTTTCCCAGCTATACTCAGCCTTTTTAAAGGGCCCACCTGGATACCATATCCAATTCATAAAATCATCAAAGTCATATACAGTCTTCAACCAATCAAACCCAGAGGGATTGAAGACAAAAGGAGACATTATCCATGAAACTACAAGAAACCAACTTGAGATTGTCATAGCTATGTACACAAAAGTATCCTTAGCCAAGGGACTATGAGAAGCATACACAATTAAAATAACCCCAAGTTCAATACCCTTTACAAAATGGCTTCGAGCATATAATCGATAGTTCTCAGCAAAACTCTTGTGCTCCACCACAAAACCACGACCAGTAGCTCGATACTTAGCACCACCATGAAGTATAGTCCGGCCAAAGAAATGGGTCCGAGTTCCCAAAGAGAATGTGTAGAATAGTGATGCAAGCTCCAACTGCATTGTCAAGAAGTCCCAAACAGCTGGAAGAAACCCATGCTCAAGAGAGTTTTCGACAACCATTGGGAGTGCAGTGAAGAGGCCAACCTGGATTGCAAACTGCTGATTTAGGACTGCTCCAAGAGCTTTATTGTCAGTAGCATTATTCATAGCTTCATCTTCAATTCCACTGAGAGCCATATAAAGGCGGCCCCAAAGGAAGGCATAGACTGTCAGAACAACCACCATGGAGTTAAAATAAAATCCTATGGTTGTGTAGAACACTGAAAGCATTCGAAAGAAGTCTAATCTATGGCCTAGCCGGTACACATCTCTGCTCAAGACCTGCTCACCATTGCCACTAGAAACCTTGGCCTCAAACATGGATATCTGATTCAAGCCAACATCTCTTCCTTTGCCTACCTGTATATATTCATGATGTGTAACATTGCCACCTCGCAGGGTACAATTGAAACCAGCAAAAATATCTTCACTAATATTGATCACTCTAGAGGCCTTGCTGACTCCACCCCGAGTCACAAACCAGAATCTGTCAAACACATCTGGATGACCGTAGTGCATTCGTACTTTCAAAGGGTTTGCCAAAACACGCTGACCAAGCGTCACAAAACTTGTCTCTTGAGCAGACATGAACCATGCAAGTGAGGAAACAGATCCTGTGAAGACATTCTCTCGGACCCCCAAAATGGTTGGTTTCTTAATACCATAGTAGGCATTAAACTCCTCCAATAGATTTCGCATTTTGAGAGCCTCCTCAAAATAATTGTCTTGATTCATATCAATGGTCTGAACTGCATCACCCCGTGTAAAGATTATGGCATGATTCTGATTCTCTGGTTTCCCTTCTCCGAGTTTTAAAGGACCGGGTAACCTGATCCGATAAATCTCAACCTCATTCTGCGACTGCTGATCAAACTTCACGAGAACAGAGTAATATTCAGTCTCCTCCCTCCCCAAAGAAACCTCATCAACATATGCCACTCGAAGAGCCTCATTGTTTTTCATCAAATATAATATGTCTTCAGCACGGGGGTTCTTTTCTGCCTTGTGGCGTCCATACATCTGGCATGCCACCACATATGAAAACTTCATCAGTGCACTCCCATATTCATCTCCCTTGAATAACAGGGTGACACTGCTATCTGCCCTTCTGAGATTTCTACGTAAAGATGGAGGCCCATCTGAGTGTAGGCCATTCAAACCACTATTTTGATTTGTTGAACCATGTGAAACAATATGTTCTGATTCCTGTCTTATGTCCATCTCAGATGCTGAATCAAGAAAGGCAAGCATCTTAAGTGCCCTGTAATAATACATCATCCCCCTCACTGTGCGAGATAGTGTTTGACCTCTGTAAGATACCCAAAGGCGGAGGTCTCGGGCTTTTGTTGTCCAGAGATCATCCTCATTTTCTAAGCCCTCTCTATGCATCCTTTCCATAAAATTTTTCCATTCATCTTCATAAATCTTCTGCAAATAAAACAAAGTAGTAATACCATCCTCATTCTCCTTTCGGAGAGCCTCTTTGCCGTAAAAAACTTCCTCATCATAATAAGGGGTCAAGACACTGAAAGCCATCATTTTTTCAACAGGGGGGGCGCGAGGCATGTTCATAAACAAAGAATTGGTAAAGAAAGCAATCCGCCGCCGTGCCTCAAGATTCAATGGGACATTGTACATTGAGTCTCTTGAAGTAAGAATTGTATGCAATCGTCTGAGCTGCCTAGTAAAGCCTGCATCTTCAGCATCAGGAAACTCTATAGCTTTCTCAAAGAGCAGTCCTTCATCAGTTCTTGAACTTTGTGGTGCCAGGCCCTCCTCACTCAACTGGCGGGTGGTCTTCTTCATCTTTGGAAAGTATCGAATAAACAGTTCATACAAAGCTTGCAACAAATATACAGCCTTATTCATATCTCTCTCTGGTTGAATCAAAAGCTGAACAAATTCACTCAGTTTAGCATGTATTTGTGGTAGCAGAGACATCTTGAATGCTTCTGCTAACCTCCCCATCTGAATGGAGTCATCTATGACTGTGAATATTTTAGTCACTATGAAGTACTCTTCTTTTTCAGGTTTAAGAACCATAAGAAACAAATATTTAATGCTGTCATATGCTTCAATGACAGCACACCGACGATACTCATTCTTGCATATTTTCAACCAAAGTGACCGGTCAGACTCATTTTCCAGCTCTTTTGCCTGACTGAGAGCAAGCAGTAGCTCGTTACAGAGAAGGGAACATGGCCATCGAATAACCCTAATATTCCAGCAATTTGGTGGCAGTTCCAAGAGCTCAAGTTCTCGATCACTGATGATATCTTCCTCCCTGAAAGTTATCATAATCTCATTCCATATTAAGGCAAACCTGGTAGCATCCACTTGGTTTGATTCAATCTTTTTGAAGGGCTGACCAAGTCCATATCGCAGTTTCAGCCGGTGGATGGCATCACGAAACTTCTTTAGCAGTGTCGCTTGCTGACTTAGTAGCTTCTCCTCTGGCATCAGATTGAACTGCATTGCACTGGCAAAGAACTGAAATCTAAGTCTGAGTTGTAAGACATTCCGAATTTCACCCAAATGCGAGAACAGACCAATTGTCACTCCATAAAAGGCAGAGAAAATTGAATACCATATTTGCAAATCCATGAAGTATACCAGCACAACAGGTAACCATAGCAACAAAACTGCTATTCTGTTGGTATTACTGAAAAACTCGTGCCATTTATAATGAACGCTGTGAGGTTTCAAAAGAGCCTTTGTTGGAGCAACTAGAGGCTTGATCTGAAGAAAATAACTGAACGAAAACTTTGAAGCCAGTACTGCTATCCAGAAAATAGTATACTTTACATTATCTACAAGTGCTTGCCTCACACCGCGCCCCACAAAAATCCGGCTATGGAACCACCATGTTAACAAGTACACTATGCTCCAGTCAGATTCCTCAATGAAATTCCGCAACCATGGCACTACAAATAGAACCACTGCCAACAATTCTGGGATTAAAAAGAAAAAGACCACTTTAAGAAACATAAAAATCCTCTCATTTGCCTTGTGAGACCAGGTCGGGCTAGAACCCTTCTCAATCCAAATCATTCCATAAAAGACGGAAAACAAAACAGTCCACGTTATGGCAACCATGCTCTTCAGCGCCATCCTCACTCCAAGCCAAGTGGTCTCCCTAGTAACCAAGCTATATTGAGTTCCAGCATCAAGCACCGATTGAAGCAACCTCAGAGCACTCCACGTGATAAACAGAGTCAACATTTTGACCTGCGTGTCCCTTCTCTCCAAGGCTTCCCAGGGATAAGTGGTACCCTCCCAGGCAACGATAATTGCAGCCTGGAAGAACAAAATGAGCATGACCCAGAGCCTATCAAAACTCTTATAAACATTCCAAAAAGACCTCTGCTCCACGAACCCGGTCTTCCCTACCCTCTTCTCCTTTGGTGTAGTCCCAAAGAAATTACACTCAAAATTTAGAGGCCATCCCAGTCTCTTCAAACATCTCCTACTCCAAAAGTACTCATTAATGTCATCATAATTCCTCCATGCAGAGTGCGGAGCCTTTCCATTTCTACTACTATCAGCTTCAACCTTAATAGTATTACAAATAGGCATAATCACAGACTTCAAAAACCCACACTCACCCGAAACCGTGGGCATAAAGGGACGACCCGTATCAGGGTCAATGTGCTCATCTACAACAAAATTAAGCTCTCTCGCCATAAAATGATAGATATAGCAAACACACTCGGGAGTGAAACGAAGGTTACCAGCTTCTCCCCAAATCAGAAGGTACAGTGAAACGTACAGCAACTCGCGGCGGAGATCCGTCGGGTCTCGGCGGCTGGAGAGCAACACGTGCGATTTCAGGCCGAGAAACGAGCACCACGCGGTGTAGTTTTGGAGGAGTTTCCGACGGAACCGCCGCAAGACGCCGGCGTCTAGGGCGTCGACGATGAGCGGCGGCGGGTCGAGACGCATCTGCGAGTTCGCGAGGTGGAGAACCAAATGCTCCCTCTGGTTCCGCGCGTTGTCGATTTGGAACCCAAACAGCAACCGGAGCCAATCCAGAAGGTCCATGCCCGGTTCCCACGCCATGAACTGGTGCTTAGGGAGGTCACCAACGGCTCGGAGGGCGGCGGCGGCGGCGCGCACCTCCGGATACCGAAGGGAAGGATGGTCCGTGAGGAGGTCGTGCACCGGTATAATGTTGTAAACGGAGTTCATCGGAGACGGCGGCGGCCGTGGCTGGTTGACGGCACCGCCGCGCGCGGCGAAGGGACGTTGTCTTAAGTTCATGGTGACGGAAACAACGGAATTGAGGGTTAGTTGCTAACGGAAACCGTTTTTGAAGGCATTCTGTTAATTGAGTTAGTTGCGTTTTTTCTCTTCATTTTCTCGTTCATTTGGTTTTTGAGTTTCTCTGCTACGCCGGAAGGTGGAAGAAAGAGTGAGGTGACTGCGAGTGGGGAAGGAGACGTAGACGTGCACGAAAAAGAACTGAAACTTTTAATATCTGTAACTCTGATGCCACGCGCTGGAGAGCAGGGTGCAACGCACGCTCCAATTGTGGGAGTTTTAAGTGGGACTTTAAGCGTGGGACCCGCCAGTCATCATTAAATAGCTGAAACGGTTCAATTTGAAGAAATTATACCGTAATAATAAGGAGTTAATTGCCGATGAAACGACGCCGCGTGGGTTCCGTGGGACCGCAGTGTTTATGGTCCATTGATGATGATGAGTAAGGGACGGCTCTGATACACGCGACGCTGGGAATGTGTTGCGTGGGAATTGATATTTTATTTTGAATTTTTGATCTTGATTGCACTGGGGTCAAGAGCTCAGAGAATCTCTGCCTGCAACTGTATTTATGTGTTTTGCTGTAAGCTGGCACGTGCAGCACGTGGCTGCATCAGCTCTGTCCTCATGTTTTTCCCCAAACCAAATGGGTCGTGTCCGTGAATAAATTAACCACGTACATTATATAATATTCATAGGTCACCACTTCCAGTTTCTTTATGATCATAATAATCAATCATCATTACAAGTCTGGTCCTAATCAGACTAAAAAAGCATACCACAGTAATTTCCTTTTGGGAGTTGAATTTTAGAATAACAAATCTCCATTTTTCCAATTGTCTTTTATGGATTCTCCTTGCTTCTTTAATCGAGGGCCTACCAAACTCATAGCTACTGTGTATTCTATATAGCAGAAAATTTATGTAAGATCTCCTCAGGAATTAATAGTATCTTTGTGTCAAAAAAGGGTAGAAGAATTGATTTGCATGTCATACAATACAATAACACCGTGCGATTCCTCAAACAGACTTTGGCTATGAATATTAACTGAAATTCTTGCGGATTTTGCACACCTCGAGCGGAACAAGCTGAAGCTCCTCCAGACAATGTTATGTGGACTATGATTATTGATATGCTTCGATGAGCAACACAGCCAACCCAAGCATATGCTTATACACCATAGCAGTATGGAGTTCCATTTCTAGGGCCATACACGCTTTTGTCTCATGCTTGTAAATATCTGGCGCACTTGAAGAACTAACCGTATATCCCCACATGCAAATGCAAATAAGACACCAACAACCATTGTTCAGCTGCCCCACATGCTCTACTTCAATGGAAAAGCTATATTAATCATTTAATTGAGTGGAATACCTGCAAGGTGAATTTCATCCTTGCAATGTACATATTTTAAGAAAATAATTAATTATACTAATAATTATTATAAAACGATTAAATTCATTAAAATATTTTTATCAAAACTTTTTACATATATTAACCAACTCTCTACACTTGATTTGCTTTATCATCTACCTATTATATAAAGCATTTTTCTCCTTTTCTTTAAGTGACATAAGAATTACTAGTTGAGAAGAATTACGCTCAAAGGTATTATTTAAAAATAAATAAAAAATTATCAAAGCAATTAATAATAGACAGAAGGAGTTATCAAAATCATAGCTGCATACGCAATATATACAACATTCCGCCACATTCATCGATTAACAAACGGATGTTCTCTGCTTTTATTTATTTATTTATTTATGGGTCGTGACTGGTCTCTGCTTACATCATCTGCTCTCCACACCCCAAGTTTACGTCAGGATTTTAAAATTAAATTAGATTAATAAGTAAGGGTTTTTTTTATATTTAATGATGAAAAGTAGTAGTAAAATTTTATAAAAAATAATAAATTTATTATATTAAATTTATAAGTGTAATAAATATTTTTTTAATATTATTTTGGAATATTTAAATTATAAAATATTGTTTAAAGATATATTTCATTTAGATTGTTTTAAAAAAAATTGGCAAAATATATAAATGATATGAAACTATTTCTAGTAATTAATTATGCATTTAACTTAATTAACTGTTGAAGATAAAAAAAAAATTAAAATAATGAATCATGAACTTTTAATAATAAATTATATTTTTTTGTTTACGATCACTACTTATTTCTTTTATTAAGATTAAAAAAATTTATTATGATCCACATTACCAATCAAACTTCATATATCAATCCCATTTGAACAGTAATACTAACAACTTTTTTGTATCAATCACGTTACATTCTTTACCACTTGAATCTTTTTATTTGCCTACCATTGCCACCCAACCTAGTGGGGTCGGGAATTCTCTGCCTATTGATTGACAAATCCACTAATCAAAACTCATTCTCAATACTCAAAACCTACATCCTACGTTCTGAGGAGTGGTAAGCTTGTTCTATGCCCTTCACGAAAGGGACATTTGTTATTTTGAAGGGGCATACATGAAGAATAGATAAATCTTCCACAGCTCGCACTGTACAAACGTTGCTTCCTGCCTAATTTTGATCCCTTGACAAGTTATTATTAAGCTATATAACATAACATCTCTTCACGTAAATTAAAAGTTTAACTATTCTTTTGGCATGTAGTTCGATTTCTAGTTATGTTCATTTTATTAATTTATCATTTAATTTCTCTGTTAGTTCCATATGATATACACGCATGATATACTTGTACATTTGCGATAACTGTGTTATTTAATTATTATTGTGATTTTTTAAAAAATTTCATGGAGTTTTTTAGGATTTTTTAAATTTTAGAAAATTTCATTTTTATTTTAAAAATTTATTACTTGATTAAGATTTGCTAAGATTATAATAAAATATCTGATATGGCATACATATATAGAAATATATTTTAGTGCCCGATCTTAATATTTTAAATTTTGGTTGTATTTACGTGACGTATCGTACCCAACATTGATTTAATTGTAAACAATATTTTCTGAAATAAAAGAACATGTCAACCAAGACTTCTAAACTATCCATGCACCAATTGAAGAGGGAGACGCTGTAAGCCATAGCAAAGAAGGAGGAGGAGGAAGAGGGAGCCTAAAATAACATATACAACATGAAACAATAATTATCAAAATAAAAGAGAGTTTGCAATATTTGTACGACATAGAACAAACTCTATTGAAAAATGAGTAAAAACTCAGTATATATACTGAGCATTGGAATACACAACTAATTTGTACAAACTATTCTTAAATTAGTCCAAATCTCTATTTATATCAAAGGGAGAGGGGTTGCTGTTTTACTTGTTTTTTTTTTCAATCGGTGCTGTCACTCTCCATGCTACAAAAACATTGACAAACTTGCTTCATGGTTGAATCCACCTGCCATGGATTCGGAATTGCACAAAATTAAAACAAAAAATCTCACACCAAATCCTCAGTGCTGTTTGTTCCATGGTATATTTGAATCTGTGATAAAAAGGACAATGCTTTCTTCCTTGAGTTAGTTTACACTAGCCAGGATAGACATGATCACTGTACATGTGAGCTGTCATATTTAATGCCTCAAGCATTGCCTCTCCTCTGGTGTTGAAGTTGAATACACACATCCCTCCATTGTTTATATCAAGGGAACGAAACCTGAACATTATGATCAATGTCTAAATGTCAACTGCTACATAGGACCATGCTACACAGTACACATGCAAGAGGTTTTGACATTTCAAGCAGGCTATTCAAATTTAAATCACTCAAAAACAAGTGGTAAGTTTAAATCACTAAGACAACATTTAACAAAATCTGACAAGAATATCTTTTGAATTGCAACATTTATTAATATCAACAAAAATACCATAATAAAACTGCCAAGTACTAAATGAAGTTATCCAACCTAAAAAAATATATGAAAGTGTCTATCACATCTATAACTTGCCATTTTTTTTAACTAGAAGATTAGCCAGTAAAATTAAAATCAAAATTAATTACATAACCAACCATTCTTACCTCTCTGGGCCCAAGCCTAAAGCAGTGCAAGTTAATGCTCTCAATATAGATTTGTGGGTCACGACCAGAAAGTTTTCTCCCTGAAGAATAAGATAATTAATAATTACATAAATCTTGCATTTTACTTTCAAACCATTACTGGCAAAAGTAAGCATCATTGACAGAAGTCATACAGGTGAAAACAATATTTCCTTCCAACAATCTCTTGCTGCTTCCCAGAGATCTTGTACAGGATATCTACCATTCATGAAAAAATTGGCTGGATCTTCTCTCCAGGTTCTATACTCCTTGGGATATATTTGCTTAGCATCCACTGCCTCCAAATTAGTAAAATAATGATTTAGTTTAAAAGAATTGTGGGAACAATACAGATTCATCAGTAAACATCTTATCAATATTCAGTAGCATTAACTTTACCAAGTGAAGTTACCTTTCCCATCAAAAAGTACGAAAGCTAACAGTATAAAAAATAACAATAAGATAATGATCAACTTAATCATATCAATATTTACATGACAAATGCATGTATAATATATAAAAAAAATGGCAAAAACAAATTAAAAGAAACTTATTCAGAATTTTCAAGTTGAGCAGAGGCAGTCTCACCATTTCTCATGCCTTCAAGGTGATATAGAGATAACTCTTTAAGCAAATCAAGATAAACCACTGGCTTTCCCCTCCCTTGCCATATAATTTCAGCAGTTTGCTACATCAAACACCCCCAACCATTTCAATAAAAAATTGATCAGCATTGGCATGCATGAAAATTGAATTTTACTAGCCACTAACCTTGGCACGAGATATTGGACTTGCAAAACACTGGTCAAAGTATATATTTTCCAAAGCTTTCTTGCACCTCTCTGCTTGCTCCTCCCCAGTTTTAGTTAGTATAGACAAATCGGAGCTTCCCTGAACACATTTAATCAAATTAATGGCAACAGATGGCAGATGTAATAAAAGAATGTCCAATGTCAAACATGAAAACAACAAACAAAAACGCAGTCGTAGCTTAATGCAATAAATTGAAAACAATTTATTTTGATAAACTATATTAAAAAGCTTATTGAAATAAGTTGAAAACAGATTAAGAGAATCATAAGTTCGTCTGTTCATCCAAACAAGCCCTAGCTCTCGGTACAGTTTAAATTATGAATAAGGCATTTTAGGATGAAAACATAAAGGAGAGAAAAAATTGTCCACACATTCGCAAACCAAGCACATCAATACCCCGACCTCATTACAAAAATGCTAGCAACAAACTATTATTAGTTAAAATTTATTAAAAGTTACAAAAATCACATATCTTACTCCTAATTTAACAATTCTCTCTCGTAATTTTGTATTTTTTAATCAATTTCAACCAATAAATGACATTATATTAAAATGGTGAATTAGAGAATGGATTCGTGGCACTCTAAAAGTAGAATGCAAACCTGAATCCTACTTTCTGCATTCCAAGTGCTAAGACCATGCCTTAAAAGAGTCACTTTCTTTGGTGAAGGGATTAACTCATTGGTTAGTGATGTCGTTGCTTCTGTGAAATCATATGCACCACCAGTTACAGGAAAATGGGTACTGGTCGGAATTTTACCTGCATTAAGGCATCAGAAAATCAACTTAAATCCAAGGCGGAATAAATGCCTACAAAGTATTCAGTGAATATTCTAGAGATACCCTTAATATAAAACAATTAATTCTTGAATCAAAGAAATCAAACTTTTAAACGTGTTAAACCGTCTTGAGTTAGAATTAACAAACTAAGAATACAACCATTTCTTTAAAAGTTAAAAATAGTTGTTCCAAATTCGAACTTGGCAATCACCCACCAACCATCGAAGAGGGAACAAGGTGAAAAGTTGATTCACCTGGAGTAAGCTCTGAAGTTGAAGTTGAGCAGCGAATGCGTGGAGGGGTCCAAAAACATGGGGCATGTGGCCTTAAACAAGAATAGAAGGAAACCGAAGGGGAGCACAGATGGGTGGTCGTGAAGACAACAACCCACGAATTGCTCATTTTCCCTTCACTACTGACACAGTGGTTTGAGGTTGTGGTTTCTGTTTCATTTTCTACTTATCTCATTATCACCAACACATCCATTCTCCACAACTTTCAGTTACTCAAATAAAAATTTAAAAAATAATAATTATGATTCTCCTCCTCCTTATAAATGTAGGAGATGCAGTTACAAAAACACAACTGTGATTGATTCATCTTTGGTTCGAAAATGTTTTATCTTAAATAAATTGGATATATTTCTTAAATGCAAATTTTGAGTTTATTTTTGTAAAGAAAAATCTGGTTTAGAATTAAAATCAAAATGATATATTATAATTTTAATTAATGTAAGTTATTATAACTGTTAATGATAGTAAATTTTATTTTTTATTAATTTTATAATTAAGTAATAAAATAAATTTTTTGGAATTGTTAATTAGTATTTTTTAAAGATTTATTAGAAATTGTATTAAACAACTACTACAAAGTAAATATAACCTTTAGTAAAATAAATAAATATTATAATAAAAAAATAAAAATGTTGATTTTAACTAGGGTTTGTGTTAAATATTTTCTACTTAATAAATAAAAGTTAAATGTATTCATTGGTTTAATTATTAAATTTAGTTTAAATTTAATATTGAGTAATTATAATTAAGTATTATTGTAATTATTAAAATACATGATTTGATAGTAATTATTAAATTAAGTATTATAGTGATTATTAATTTAGTTTAAATTTAATATTGAGTAATTATAATTAAGTATTATAGTAATTATTAAAATACATGATTTGATAGTAATTATTAAATTAAGTATTATAGTGATTATTAAATTAGTTTAAAATATAGAATAAATTATTATTAATTTGTTAACGTTATGATTAACTAAAAATATAATTTTTTAATATTTTAATTAGTGTTTTTAAAAGTTAATATTATGAAATGTATTGAATAATTAATACGTAATAAATAAAACCTTAACTATAAAAAATGTAAATTATAATTCAAAACCTAAGAATGTTGATTATTAAACACTTATTTTTAATTATTAAGTATTATTATAATATAAAACTAAAATGTATATTAATTTTAATTTATGAACGACTGTTGGCATAATTTTTAATTAAGTTTTGTGTTAAATAGTTTTTACTTAACTAATAAAAGTTAAATGTTTTTATTGGTTAAATTATTAAATTAATTTAAAATATAATAAATTATTTATTAATTTGTCTACGTTATAATTAAGTTGAAGATACAATTTTTGAATTTGTTAATTAGTGTTATTAAAAATTAATATAAGCACATGTAGTATTTTACTTTTTACTTAATAAATTAAAGCTTCATTAAAAAATATATATTATAATATAAAAACTAAAAATATTTCAAATTATAAAATAATTTATTTTTATTTATTAACTATTTTTATAATATAAAACTATAATGTAGGTTAGTTTTAATTTATGAATAAGTGTTAGGCATAATTTTTAATTAGGTTTTGTGTTAAATATTTTATATTTGATAAATAAAATTTCAATGTTTTTATTGGTTAAATTAATAAATATAATTTGAACTTAATAAACAGTAATTAAAATTAAGTTTGTAGTAATAATTAAATTAATTAAAAATATATGAATAAATTATTTATTAATTTGTTAACATTATAATTAAGTAAAAAATAGATTTTTTTATTTTTGTTTAATTAGTGCTTTTTAAAATTAATATAAGAAATTGTATTAATTTATTTTGACATAATAAATAAAATCTTTATTAAAAAATTAAGATTATAATATAAGAACTAAAAACATTTAACAAATATAAAAACAATATGTTTTTAGTTATAAACTATTTTATAATATAAAAACTAAGCTGTAGATTAATTTTAATTTCTGAATAAGTGTTGGCATAATTTTTAATTAGGTTTTGTGTTAAATATTTTTTACTTAATAAATAAAAGTAATTTTTTCCCTTAAACATCTAGGTTAACAAGCAAAAAAAAAAATTAACTCAAAAATCTATAAATCCAAATATCAATAGTATCTAAAGTAAAGAAAATTTACTCAGAATAACAAAAAAATATAACATCTTCAAGACCTATTATAGCTAAAATATTAGTACATTAATTAATATATATATATATATATATATATATATATATATATATAAACAAATCTAACAAATTGAATCAAGTTTAAAGAATTTCTAATAGAATTAATCAAATGAAACAAAAGATAAGATTAAACTTGAATATTTAGAATTAAAGTAATAACATTCTTTAAATTACTCTCAATCTAAATATTACAAATGCCTTTGATGATAATTAAATTAACTCCCAATAGAATACCTTAAAGCTCAGCCTCTAAAGGAAAACAAGAAGGCAGATTACTGATAAAACTAAAGAGAAACTATCCTTGAGCATCCTAATCAGACCTCCATAAACACCATTTTGATTGATAGATTGAAAGGACTCATCCACATTTAATTTTAGCTGTCTAGGATTTGAAAGCACCCATTTAACCTGTATAGGCTCATAAATGATCCTAGGGAGGCAGATGTAGTGATTCTTGGAACAATAACCAAAATAATTAGCATCAAGAAGAATTTTTTGAACAAGATTAATGGCCTGAATAGAAGATTGTTGAAATATAAAAGAACTTTTATCCTTTCATAAATGTCAAACAATAAGACCAAACAATTTATTCCAACTAATATGATTAAAAAGAGAATTATTATTAAAATTATAGGACAATCAATTCATAAAACTAGAGCTAAAAATTCAAACCTAGTAGTTAGGTAAAATAAAATAATCTCACACAATTTTAGCATAAAAGCATTCCTTTAAAACATAAATCACAATTTTTAGAGCATCATTACCTCTAGCACAAATATTAGAATTAGTCATACCTCTCATATGCCTCTCATGATTGGTTAAAAGTTTACTATGAGAAATTTTTTCAAAGAAACAATGTAATTCTAGAAGGACTATCCCATTTTCAAACCATATAAAAAATATCATTGATAAGGGATTGCACAACAATAGGAGAAGATATTAATTGATATACATATTGAATTGAGAAAACTCCATTTCTTGTTAAACATAGTCTTGTTCACCGATGTCATAGGGAGAGAGAATCTTAGCAATAACATTACAAATATGCCTAAGCGACAAAACATATATTTTGTCCCAATTTCTATTACGAACAAAAAGAGCCACCCATAAATCCCTATCAATACTAGGAACATGTTGAATAGCTAAAACTACTTAGATTGTTAAATTCAAGAACCCAAAAATCTTCCCAAAACCTAACAATAAGACCATCCCCAATTAACCATCTTTGACCTTGAGAAAATTTAGGCCAAATTAAGACCAAAACTTTCTAAAGATGAGATATTTCTTGATGTTTACCAACTAAAGAAAATTGCCCAAGTTTGAACTTATATTTAGCACAGTGAATGTAGACCCAAAATTCATTATTCAAGGTAATTAGCCTTCAACCCACCTTCATCATATAAGCAAGGTTAAGACTATGAAGGTCCTAAATCCTAAACCCCTTTTCTGATTTTTGTTTTCAAATCTTTTGCCAGCCTATAAGGTGGCATTTTCTAAAGCCAATAGACCTTTAAATAAATTATTTACATATGTTATTAATTTTATTACATATAGAGATGGGAATTAATTGAGTTTACATCATATATGAAGGAATACTTATAAGGCAAGATTAAGTAAGAGTAACTTTACCTGCCAATGATAACGAAATCATTTTTCAAAGGGATAATTTCTTGCTAAACCTATCAATAATGAAAGAAAAATCATGTCTGACTAGTTTCTTATGCTTAAGAGGAATATGAAAATACTTGCCAAAATGCTAAGCATAATTAATTCTAAAGGAATCACATATAGACTTGCTAAGAAGACTATCAATATTTCTAAAGAAAAACAAAGAAGATTTCTCTTTATTAATTATTTGACCAAAGGCTAAATAGAACTTAGACAAAATAGTTTTAATAATCTCAACTTGTTAAATATTAGCTTTTGTCACTAAAATAATACCATCAACAAAAAATAAATGAGAAATTCTAGGACCCTAGCAATCAAAAGAAAAAGGAATCCAATCCCCATCCTAAACCTTATCTTTAATTAAATAAGTTAATCTTTCAATATACATAACAAAAATATAAGGAGAAAGGGAGTTCTCTTACCTAATTCCTATGAAAGGTTTGAAAAGAATAGTAACACTATTATGTCAATTAATACTCATGGAATAGGATGATATGCAATGATGAATAATACTAATAAAATGTGTCCTAAACCTTATTTTATGGAAAGTATCAATAGTAAAATTACATATAAGACTGTCATAGACCTTTTCTAAATCAAGTTTCAAAAACATATACTCAGTTTTACTTTTATGTTTATTAAGAGAATTAAGAAGTTCTTGAAGAATAATAATACTATCAACCCCTCTCTACCAAAGATAAAACTACATTGGTTTTTATATATAAGATAAGATAAATATTCATTTAACCTATTAGCTAAAACTTTAGTAATAATTTTATAGCTAATATTACATAAATAAATTGCCACAGAATTAGAATATAATTTCTCTTTGTCCCTATTCTAAAAGGAGGAAAAAGTGCTTAGTTTCTAATTTAAAAATATTAGGATTATGATCTTGGTACAAATCTTTAAAATAATTTAGAATAATTACTATAATTTTATCAATATCATACTCTTAATTACTATTCTCATTTTTCAAAACTTCAATTAAATTTTTATGTCTACAAAACATTATAGCCCTATAGAAAAATTTTGTATTCTTATCTCCTAAAGTTAACCATTTTATTCTAAATGATGGAACCAATAAACCTTTTCATGATCCAAAATATGTTGGTAATCCTTTCACTAGGACTTTGAAAGTTAATTAAGAAGGGATTATAACCAGCTACAAGTTTATAGGAAATCCTTTCAATCCTATTAAAAATACATTTTTTCTATAGAAAATGTTACCAATTATACTTATATTCTAGTTATAAATATTAGCACTAAATCTAGTTATGTTTAGTGTGTAGGAACTAGTATTTAACTAAGAATTTCTAACCTAATTAGGAGAATCATTATGAGAAATAGAATTTAAAATGTCTATCATATCTGCTAGAATCTATCCT